TTCCTGGGCTGCAAAGGTCCAGTGTGGCTCTGCCCTGTGACCCTGCACTGTGCACCACATCACCTCTGCTCCAGCAGCTCCAGAGCTTGTGTTGTGCTGTCGAGCCTTGCAGGGGAGTGGGAGTGCTGCATCTCCCTGGAGTTATATCCAGAGTGCCCCCTGTGCCTCCTCTGAAGCTGTCAGGCTGCTCCCACTGTGTGGAGCTGATCCACAGCTCTGTGATTTTACATCCCAGCTCTCTGTGCCAGTGGGGTGCCCCTGGTGTGGCAGCCCTGGGCTGGTAACTGTTGGCAGCACTTTATTTCCATAGGTGAATGCTCTGGGCTGGTCCCTTCTGGGCTGCCTCCTGGCGATGTCTCTCGTGTTGATTAATCACCAGGAGATGATAAATGAAAATATCAGCTTGAGAAATGCCTGCCCTGTGCTCCCAGCAGAGGCAGCAGTGCATGGTGAATAGTTTTCTCCCATCTCTTCTGTTTGGTTCCCTCTGCAGAGCTGCTTCTCAAGTGATTCTCGTGCACTCAGGAGCTTTGCCAGTGCTCAGCCCCACGCTGGGGAAGAGAGGGCAGGGGTGAGGAGTGCTGAGATCCTTCCTCCCTGAAGGCTGCTCCCACCACCAGGGTGCCCCTAACTGCAGCACACTGTGTGTCTCATCCTTTTATGCTCTGTTTTGGGTGTGTGGAGGAGCTTTTGAGCCACACCAACTGTGTCTGTGCAGTTTTAATTTTACAAAAGATGCAAAATCCTTCAGGTGACTGTATGGTTAGCTATACAGCCAGCTGCCCCCTGTAAAACCTGTGCCTCATCCACAGTTAAGAGCTCTTGGAAAAATTTGGATCTGGATGGGATCTTATCCCATGAAATATTCTGCAATTTTGTGCCCTTTAACAGGAGAAAAGACTTATCAAACCCTTTGTAAAAAAAAAGAGGAGATCTCTAGGACCGGAGTACAGAGATTTTCCAAGGTTCTGGGAAACGTTTCTGATGTGTGACTGAAACCAGTACATACTTGGAAAAAAGTTCTAGGTCTGAAGTACCTCATTTTGGACAGGGAAAGTAATTTGTCTGTGCATTCTTGATGTACAGCCCTATTGGCATCTGCAGTGTCTTTAAGTGATGTATCTCTCTGAAGGCTTCACTGCTTCTGCTGTGTGATCTGCTCCCAACAAACTCCAGAGAGCGAGTGATTTATCAGCCACTGCTTTTTAGGGTGAGGAAAAGGCTAATGCTTTATGGATCTATCAGCATTCCTGTATGGCACACAGAATACAATATCCTGCCAAAGTGGGGAGGGATGTCTGCTACCTGGCAATCCATCATTTCTCCCAGTGCCCCATGGCAAATGCACTTTGCTTTTTTCCATCAGGCTATGTGCGAGCACTGTTATATAGTGAAGAGCTTCTCCCTTCTCCTCCTCCACAAATAGTTATGAAAACCTGAAAGTGCAACTTCTGCAGGGTGCAGAACATGAGCTGGGAAGGGTCATTTTGACAGGGAGAAGACGTCATTGCCTGCAGATCCTGGTTCCAGCAGGACCTACGAGATCTCAAGTGATGCAGCTGTGCCGTAGACAGCACAACAGGAGCAGAGCAGGGATGAGAAATCCAGGCCAAACATGCCCATGTAGACTGCCAGGTATGTGCCAAAACCACACAGATGTGTCAACAGATGCTCCAGGATTTCCTCTCTTATAGGCATGGCTCAGCTGACCTTGTCCCCATGGAGCTCATCCATCCCATCCACAGAGTAAGTGAAATATGTTCATAACCTGGTGAGCATCTACTGGGGAGCATGAATCCCTCTCCTACATCTCTCCTTGGTGTTTTAATTGATTCAGGGTTTTCCCAGTGGAGAACTTCATAAGAGCATTTGATAAAATCAGCTACACATGATCCTGCCTCTCATTACTCACAGACTTGAGGCAGGTAGATGATTAAGTGAATTTTTTACGGTGTGAGCAGTTGTAACAAGGGAAATTATCATCCTGGATGTGAGACAATGACTTGGCTCTTACTACATCTGCTGGCAGACAACTAACCCAGTGACTTTGCCTCTGATCTTGGAGCAAGTCTTCTGCTTTCTCCTCCAGGACAAACCTGCATTTCCTACTCTCCCATTAAAAGGACAAGCCATATGGACGTGCCTGTGCTCAGGAAAATAGCTTCAGATTTTCATGGGGCTGATGCTGCAGTTCTGATGGAAGTCAGAGGATCTGCAATTGTCACCTTGGGAATGCTTCTGCAGACACTGCGGAGGGAGAGCATCCCTTGAGCTGGGGGCTCAAGGTGTCAGAGAACATGACAGTATTGTTGGTCCATGGATGGGATGGGATTCACCCCTTATTTCCATTTAGCTGCATCCTAGACTTTGTTACCCCAAGAAAAGTCAGTAATGCTAGAGTGAAAACTGGGGAAAATGAGTTTCCATTAGGAAAAGTTTCCAGTTGAAATGTGAGTTCTTTTTCTTCTTGCCAGCAGAAGAATGACTGAAAGAAAGGGTTGCCACTTGGTTTTGTTACGTGTTTCTAGAAGCTTTAACTTGCTTTTGACACATCTCCTTGTTGATAAATATACTTTATTTTCGCAGGGAGTCATTGTCAAGATAATGTCAGATCCCACTGTGAGGCCAGATCCAGTAAAGAGCAGTAATGTTGTTTTCTAATTTGTTTGAAATCCTAAAGCACTCTCTCATCTGAGCAGAGATACCTAAATGGCTCCTATTTGGCACTGGGTGTAATTCTTTGCACTAATGGCATGCTTGACAATATCTGTGTACTTACCTGGAGCAGCACAAGCCTCCTGTACTTAAATGAAATACACACAGCGGGTTTGAAGATGAACACAGGAGATGCTTGAATGCCTTTTAGACAACTGTAATTCAGGCCATAAACATAATATAGATTGCAATATTGTATATAAATATTGCCTTCTAATACCAGCCTTTGTGTTCTGCAATTCAGCCCAATTGATTCCTGACCTAACACAATGCTGTACCCAAAACTGTTGCATAAACATAACAAATCCATCACCAGATCAATGAAGGAGATGCAGCAGAGGTGTGGCAGCTATCTGGGGTGATGTGGCTCCCATCAGCCGCAGTCTGGGTGCTGCTATTCCATGTAAGGCACCAGGAGAAATGAGAATGGGTAAAGGATGGCTCCTTGTCCTTATCACCGAGCACACGCCCGCCCTTCACTGTGCTGAAATTGGGCACAATTGGCATTGTGGAGCACCTGCACCTCTGAACAAAATTAAATTTCTGGATTTCTCTGAACTCCTGCAAAGTGGGACTTCTTGCTGCCTGGTTAATGGGAATTTTGTCAGTCATGCTTACTAGAAACAATAAAGGGATAATAAATAGTGCAGCCTGTGGACAGCAACAGGCTCCGACAATCCATTAACCAATGAGACGTGTTGCACATTCCAGCTTATTAAACGCATATCCATAATATATTTTAACAATCTCTCCCTGGCAGGCATTTTCCTAGAACAAATACACAGTTCGGACTTCCATTTTTCACCCCTGTTCAAAATTTCAGAGTGAAAAAGAGCTGGTAGTGAGCCATTAGCAATAATTTGATCCTGCATTTACACTGGAAATTTTAAATAGATTTTTCTTCTGTTCTTCTGCTTGTACTTGCTCTGTCATTGTTTTTCTGTGCATGGTGCAGGCTGGGGGCGAGCAGTGAGGAGACTGCCTGGGCAATCACTGTTTTGGCAGTTTTTCATACACGACCCTTGCTGTTTTAAATAGAGCCTTTCCTCACCCCACCTTCTTGCTTCCCACTTTGTACAGCTGCTTGCTGAGTGATGAGCAGCGTGGGCCCCTCCCAACTGGGGGTGCAGTGTTGGTATTTAGGGTCTTCTGCTTGTGAGTGGAGCTGGAATGTCCTTTCAGCTGGGGGACACAGCATCTGACCAGGCCTCTGAGACCCTGGGGGACCTTCAGCTCAGTGAGCGAGGTGATCCCAACAACTGCATCTGGAAACTGGTGCAGAAATGGTCGTGCTGGAGGAATACAGCCTGCTCATGTAAAGTTTGCCTGTTTCCAGGGTAGCTCCTCTGGTGATTTGCCCCAGACCCGTGGCACTCCCGGGTGTTCTTCTGGGCTATCCAGACTCCAGTGCTGCCCCAGGGGGCTCGGTGATGCTTACGGTCCTGCACTCAGCACCACTCCGCCCTCATGGCAGAGTTTGCAGCTGAGTCCCACGCTGTCCCTCAGCCTTACAGGAAGGGTTTAGTGCGGTGTGTGGAACTTCGCTCTTTCTTACAGCCCCGCCTGCCAAGGGCTTAAGAGACGCTCCATTCATCGCGGTGCAGCACCGTGACTAACGCAACACGAGGGACCGCGCATCCCGCATCCCACGCCAGGTGCACGCGTGGGGCTACACAGGGTCTGCACCGCACGGGCAGCGAGCGGGGGGGCACCGGGAGCAGCGCTCCGAGCGGTGGGAGCCCGCGGCTTGCCGGTGCCGGGACCGGGGTCGGTGCCGGGATCGGGGTCGGTGGCGGGGTCGGTGCCGGGATCAGGGTCGGTGCTGGGATCGGGGTCGGTGGCGAGGTCGGGATCGGTGCTGGGATCAGTGTCCGTGCCGGGATCGGGGTCGGTGGCGGGATCGGGGTCGGTGGCGGGATTGGTGTCGGTGCTGGGATCGGTGGCGAGATCGGTGGCGGGGTCGGTGCCGGTGCCGGGATCGGGGTCGGTGCCGGGATTGGGATCGGGGTCGGTGGCGGGGTCGGTGCCGGTGGCGGGGTCGGTGCCGGGATCGGGGTCGGTGCTGGGATTGGGGTCGGTGGCGGGGTCGGTGGCGGAGTCAGTGCCGGTGCCGGTGCCGGTGCCGGTGCCGGACGGAGGGCGCGCGCAGGTGCGGCGCGGGGCGGGGCGGGCGTGGCTCGGGGGGGGGCGGGGCCGCCCCGCGGGGCCCAATGAGCGCCGGGGCGGCGGCGCGCGCGGGGCGAGTTTCCCGCGGGCGGGGCGCGGGCGCCAATCAGGGTCGGGGCGGGCGGCGCGCGCGGGGCCGGGACCGGCGCCCCGGGAGCGCCGCGCGGGGCCGAGCTCCGCTCCGCTGCTCCCGGTCCGCCCCGGCACGGCGGGCATGCCCGCTGGCAGCGCCTAGAGGAGCGCCCCGGTGGTCCGGGAGGATGTCGGGGAGCGGCGGAGTGCTACTGCTGCTGCCGCCGCTGCTGGCGGCCGCGCTGCTCGGTGCCCCGGGAGCCGCGCAGCCGGCGGGGGAAGCCGCTTGCCGCCCGGTCCGCGCCGCCTTCCAGGTGCTGCAGCCCGGAGCCAAGTGGGTGCCGGAGAGCCCCGTGCCAGGTGAGCGCGCTCTCCCCGTGGTGTCCGGCCGGCCGTCATCGTCTCCCGGGGCCGCTCGGGCGCGGGGCGCAGCGCCTGCAGCCGGGGCCGCGGCTGCGGGACGCTGCGGAGCCGGGTGCGCGCTGCCCGCTCTCCCCGGCGGCCGCCGGGTTCGGCGTCTCGGGTGTGGGGATAGCACGGAGCCTGTGACTACGTCGCGGTAGTGGGAGCCCGCTGTCGCGCTCGGTTTGTTCAGGGGGTTTTTCACCCCGGGTGCCCGGGGTGAGCTCCAGCTGTCGGGTAGAGCCGCGGCGCTGCCGGAGAGACCAAACCGGCCCCGTCCTCGCGTGCCGCTGTCGGGGGTCCGGTGCGGGGTCGCCGGGAGCTCGCGGTGTCCCTGCCGGCGACCGGAGGCTCCGCGCACCCGTCACGTCTCCGCAGGTCCCGGGTCCGCCACTTTCCTCTGCGCGAGGTGTGCGAGGGTCCGAGGCAATGCCGCTCCTTAGGGCTGCTCCGAGAGCATCCCAACCCGCGTCCCAGCCTGAGCCCGGGGGCTGCCGCGGCTCCGGAGGATGGGGCTGGAAGGCAGCGCGGCATTCCCCGGGCTGCGAGGGCACAGTGGGAGCCTGATGGGTCTGGGAGAGGTGTTATTCTGCTCTGCAGTTCCCATTACAGGTGGCTGCCGGGATGGTACCACACCAAACCTCACCACATACCCCCTGCAAGTCTGCTTTCTGTATATATGCCTCGTTCCTATTTTAAAATGCAAGTGAAATACTTGAATTCCTTGCCTTTTAAAGGTTCTTTGGAGCTTTTTGGGAGCTAGGGAATGTCGGCTGCTCCAGATGGGTGGCTGTGTGTGTACACAAACGGGATCAGTTTGATGGCTGCGATACGGAGCTGCCTGGAGAGATCGCTGCTGTTGTGTTGGGTTCAATACGCAGCCGAGAACGCCTGCCCTGAAAAGCTTGTGATCAAAGTATGAAAAGGAAGAGATAAGAGGCAATCGTAACAGGCAGGGGAGGTGCAATGAGATCATCGCCAGCGATGTGTTGAGATACGTTTCTTGCATTCGGTGTCGCACTGGCCAGAAACACAAGGGTTCCTCCAGCAGCGATCTGCTGCAGAACAGGAGAGGGAGGGAGGGGGGAAATGGGGCACCCAGAGCTGGGACTGCGAGGTGTTGTGGCTGCTGGTGCAAATCCCGAGTCTTTTGATCTGTAGAACTGTAGCAGTCCTCAGCTTATCAAGAGCTGTGAGAGATATGAGGGGAGTTTAGATGAAAGTCCCGGTGAGAGTGATTTCCTATCCCAACCTGTCCTTATGTTCTCTTCTCATATAAATTTCAACACTTAACGCTCCTTTCAGACTAGCTGCAGGAGCAGCATCTCTTCTCTCTCTGTCCCACAGGGCCTTCGTCTCCTGGTCAGTAAGGAAGTGGCCCTGGAAATACTTTCCAGTGAAATGTTTGCTTGAAGAGTTGCAGGAAAGAGCTGCTCTTATCACCACTGAATTGACAAATTCTGTTTGTCAGAAGGAAGGGAAGTTGTTTCTTTGAAAGTCAGTGAGATTCCTGCTTTGATTCCTAAGTAACTTTGCAGAGTATGTTTTCACACACTCCAGGGAGGTGATGGAGGAGTGGGCAGGTTCCTGGAGAATGGCTCCCATTGTACTGAGGGGCTGCTGGGGCTGCCATGCTGCAATGTGATCGGTCCTTCCCCAGAAAGCAGTAGCATCCTCCAGCCTGGCCTGGCTGTGATTGCAGTGGGTGTTCTTGCCCTGGTATCTTCCCTTCCCAGCAGGGTTCAGGTTGTTGGGGTTCCTCAGTTACGTTCTCACTCCCCTGTGAGCTCCAGCTGCACCCCTGATAGCCAGGAGGAGTAAGGAGCCCTCTGCCTCTCTGCAGAGCCTGTGGGCAGCTGGATCAATACCTCGTAACAGGGCTGGTGTTTCAAGTGAATGCTTCCAGCTTGTTATGATGATAAAGTTCCCACATACCGAATCGAAAGTGGATTTTACATTTGCCTAAGTACATAAACTTGATCATAATTAAAGCGATGACTGCTTGCTTATACCTTGGATCTAGCCCATCTTGCATGACTCTGTGTGGTAATTACACTTCAGAGCACTTGCTTCTCTAGTAGCAGCTGTATAAATCTCTATAATAGGGGAACATCACTCAAGGACTATTTTCTAGGCATCTGTTTATTACTTTTCTTCCTTTCATACATCTGTCTATTTAAAAAAGTTTTGGAGTTCCCAGCCACAAATCACCCTGGAATCAACTCTGAGAACCTTTCCCAATGGATCACATCACCCTGGAGAAACTGAAGTTAAACAACTTATTTAAAATGTGGATTTTTTTTTTTTACACAAACAGAAAACAATTGTTTCTGGAAGCCCCATTTTGCATTATGAGCAGTTGTTGCTGAAGGAGTAAGTAGTGGAAATGCTGCTGAGTTGCAACACACTCAGGAGAAATGTCCCACAGCTCAGTTTTACTGCATCAGTAGTGTGTGGGCTGGAGGGACATTGGCAAATTGACACAGTAGGAGAGCTCTGAAGTAGACAGAGACCACACTTCTAATTAAAAAAAAAAAAAAGGCAATTCTGTTAAATGTGAGGGAAGTGTCATGCTATTTCATGAACAGTATTGATGTTCTGGGAATAGCTGCAGGCGTGCACCAGGCAGTGAGAAGCTTGGTCTCCTCTGGTCCTGCAGTCTGGGGACCAGGTTTTTGTCACTCTGGAGCATGCTTTGGCCTGCTTAGAGGTGGGGAACAGCAAAGCCTGACCACTGTCAGCTGTGGCTGACTGTTCTGAGGGGTGGGAGGATGTAATTCATGGCAACATCTTGACTGGACCTGGATCAGAGACCTTGAGCTGGAGAGGAGTGAAGGCAGGGTGATGGCAGAGTGCTTTTCCTGGGTTTTGATGAAGATGAGACTGAATGCCAGCTCCTGAGCCAGCCTGTGGTTCTGTGCTGGGGTAGCTTCATGCTCAGTAATAACTCAATTCTCTCTTTACTATGTTGCCTGTCTTGGTTTTCTTCCCCCATTTGTCTTTTCTCTGCATAATTTCTCCTATCTATAAAAAGCAGATTGAATTTCCATTTCTGCTGGTCTGTTTTTTTTCTTCTCTTTGCCATTTGGGTTTCTCTGTATTGGTGATGACAGGTAATTGGGCTGGGGTCTGTGGGTAGAGGGGAAGGGGTGAGCTGGTGCCTTGCCAGGGTGGGGACAGGGGATGGACGTCTCTGCTCTTGGACAATGGAAAAGTGAGGAATATTTATCTTGACAGAAATATCTGCTGGCAGGTCTGTTTTCCTTCTCCCACAGCAAAGTGTTATTTCCAGCTTTTTGTTCATTTTCTTTGATGGAAGCGAATATGGATTCACCCGAAGAAAATTGGAGTTTAACCTTTTGGAGTTGAGGTGTAATGCTTTACATGTGGCTGGCTGAGCATGTCAGCATGTTTCTTCTCTCTTTTTTTTTTTTTTTTTCTGGCAGCTGCTATATGCCAATGTACAGTTTAAAAATTAAAAATCCCAACTCTTCCTGCTGAACTCGATGTGCCTTTGCTCATGAGCTGGTTCCCTTTGTACTACTGCTCTTTTATTCTGTTTTTCCTGAGTGGGACTAATGATGCTCCTCCCTGTGCAGCCTTTCCATTTAGCTTAGCACGGTGGTTTAAAAGCTTAGTTTACTAGATAATTGAGTTTTCTGTTCTTAATTATTTCAGGCCTGCAAGTTGCTCTCTTGATAGTTAAGAGAGCAGGAGCAGAACCCTAAAATTTAGTAACCTCCCCAGGCAGTGGTTTTATAGTGAGATCATTAATTTTATTTTTTTTCCCCAGGGGTTAACTTTAACAACATCCTGAACAGTGTTCTTCCTGGTCTTTGGAATGGCTGTGGGATGTGTGCATGTGACTGTAACAAATCTGTGTGGGGAGTGGGTGCCCAAAGTTAACTCCACTGATGACAGTGTTTATACATTTGTTAGGAGGAAAGTTTTACTCTAAAAGCTATTTTTCACTGTAATGTCTTATTTTAAAAGATCTGTTTTTATAGGGTGTTAGATTTGCATGAGAATCATCTGGCCAACATTGTAAGACCAGGGGAGGAATCCAGAGTCAGATGGTCTTGTGAATCACAAGATGGAATAGAAAATAAAGGATAATTAAGCACTAATAAATATCCCATGTAGTACCCATACTGTTCCAACTTAAATCACCTATTGAATGAGGTTGGTTTATAATTTATATGTCTTTAATTAGGTTTATAAAGATCAGCATTAAATCTGGGTTCTAAACAGTTGCATTTCTTTTTCCTCCCCCTAGATGCTGAGCATTAAAAGGCACCGACAGATGTACAGCCTCCTGATCACACAATTTAAAATGTTCTTAATAAAAAGTATTGAAAACCTGGGGGGAAATCCACTATATTTAAATGTTGAGTCACTGCTTTTATCTATTTAAAGCATGATGCTGGTTGTAAAACAATTGGAGGAGGAAAATTGACCCAAAACAGCATATTTCTTGTGGGTAATAGTACCAAATTGATGAGTTAAGAGGGTGGGAGGAACTCCTCTGACACTTCCAGACTGCAGAAGGCGAAGGTGCCACTGCATGGAGTAGCAGAGCCCCCTCACATGGGGAGGAGGCTGCAGGAATGTAGCGTTAAGCAGGGACAGGTTCTTATTTTGGCAATGCCTGGGGTAAATTTGGGGAGAATGTTAATCTGATTTAAGCTGCCATTGGATCTGGGTGGGAAGGCTTGTGTGCCTCAGTGTGCACAGCTTGCCTGCCTGTATCTGATGACAGGGTTGAAGCTATCCTGGAATGCTTAAAATCAAAGGAAAATCCTTTGGCCTTGTGAAGGAGTCCACAATTCCCCATAGATGGTCTTGAGGGTTTTTATTTTTGACATTAAATCCACTGAAATGATTTTCACTTCTGCTGTACAAACCACCTATCTGCGGGAATAATTGTACATCAAAGTCAAATGTAATGGTTTAAATTCACTGCTGCCCGACCGCCAGTAAAAATTCCCTGTCAGGAGGAGGAAGAGGCAGGGTGCTGCTGAAATTAGTGCAGCTCTAGAGTTTATTTCTGTCAGCTGGGAGTGTATGTGAAATTGCTGGAGCATTTACACTGCTGTTCCCCAAGATGGCATAAATGGCACAGTTCTGATGGTGCCTGGCGTTCCTGCACCCATGGAAGGGGCTGCAGCCAGTGCCTTCTCAGCCGTGGGAGTTGGGTGTCAGAGGGTCAGGCTGCTGTGCTTGGCATCTCATCATCTCACTAATCTTGCCAAGATTGGTATTTGAGCATCCAAATGCAATTTAATAAAACGGCTGCAGTAATTTGAGGGACACTTCCTTTCTGAAAATGAGTTGGTAGTGATTTATAGCAAAAGGAGAAGGTTGTTTGCAAGGGCTGAGACTGGCATTACAAGGTGTAATGACTTGAAACTTTAAGAAAAAGGGGTTGTGTAGGTTGGGAGATAAAAACGGTCTTAACAGTGAAGGGCCATTAGGCAGCGGAATGGGCTCTGCTATCTCCCAAGCCGGAGTATCGCTGGAGGTGTTTGTGTTAGATAAAATGCTGAGAGGGGGTGGACTGGGAGGCTGAGGTACGATTTGATGACTCACAGGACCTTTTCCCGTGCATTTTTTTGGAGTCAGGAACGTGTGGCACCCTAATTCGTTCACTGCTGGTGTCTGCTCCGTGGGCTTGCTGAGTGTTCCCAGGCGTTCGCGTCTCCGCATCCTTGGCGCATCCTTGGCGCGCGTGGTCTGCGCAGCCCCCGGCCCTTCTTTAAGCCATGGCACGAACAAACCCCAAATACAGTGCCAGTCCAAAGCTTTGTCTCTGTTTCATCTGTGTCTGCTGGGGCTGGGGTCAGCAGGGTGGGTCAGTGGCTCCTGGGGGACTGGCATTGAAACCTCCCGTCCTTACTGCTCCTGGGGGACTTGGGATGGAGTGTGTGAGCCAGCTTGCCATCTGGGGAAGCCACACGCAGAAAAGAGCTGGCAGATGGGACTCAGGCCCCCGTTCCTGTCCCCCTGTAGCAGCACTGTGCCAAGAAGGGCCTTGTCCCTGCTACCTTCCAGAGCCTGTCCTGCCTGTGTTGTCCTGTTGTGTATACCATGATGTTTCTTTCTTTTTTAGTTGGCAGTCTCTAAAACATTTTGAGCTGAGTTAATTCCCAGGCTTTTTCCTCCTCCTCTGTGATTGCTCTGATACAGCATGTGTCTGTCTTTTTACTGCACAAAAATAAAGATCCATTTAAGGGGAGAAGTTGGCTTAATTGCTAAAAAGAAGGATGGGATGTGAGTAGATGACCTTGCTGCTTCCTATCCTTGGCTTTAACTTGCAGAGACCTCTTAATTGCCAACTCTCAGATTTTCTATATTGGTATTTCCATTAATCATGGAAGGATTTTTATTTTATAATTTGAAATGTGTCCTAATATAATAAATGTAGGAGGAAATAAGCTTTGTATTAAAAAGAAATTTATGGGCATATTGTAGTGTTAAAGAGACCATGCTAAGCCTTTTCGTGGTGTAAATTGAGTTGAGTTTGACTTTAAAAAACCTCTTTAACTTGCTGTTATATCACTGCTTCTCTCATTAACGCAGTATCTTGCTGTTACGTGGTTTTATGGTCCCTTTTATTTTTTCAATGCATGAAATACCTGTCGCTGTGCTCCTCTGGAGTGGGTGAGCTCACAGATCACTGAGGCTTGAGCTTGAGACATTGGTGGTGCTGGCTCTGTGTCAGAGGGCCTGAGGGAGGGATTGTGTTGGGCATCCTGCTTTACAGAAGGGGAAACTGAGGCAGTGGCAAGTGATGGAGCCAGGATGGGGGTGTGGACCTCTCTCCCCCTGTGCATGAGGTTTTTTTGCAGCAACAGCAGGGCCTGCACTGGTTAAATTGTCTTTCCCCACATGCAATGCATGCTGTAGATGAAGTGTTTCATGTTCCTTTTCCCATGCTGTGCCGGGGAAGGGATGGGGCTGGAGGGAGGAGGATTTCTGCTGTCGCTGCTCCTGAGCCCCGACAGCTGGTTTTCCCTTGGCACTGTGCATGACTCTTCTTCAGGAGGCACACGATTGAACTGACATTAATATTAATCCTGTTCTTCTAGACTACACTTGCAAAAGTGACTTTTGACACTTTCTAGTAATTAGGGAGAGAGTGGATGTGGTAAAAGACTCTTGTGAAGGAGAGAAGACAGAAACCTGAAAGGAGGCATAATCCTCCCAGAGCAAAGATGTAAATTACCAAAGTAGCTTTTACTGAGGAAAAACCCTCTATAATGAGCAGGAAGGCAGAGTGAGAGGTGTGAGGAGCCATCACTCTGCCAGGGCTGTTGGTCTGGGGACTGCTTCCCAATCCAGGTTCCTGGCAGAGCTGAACCTAGCAGGGAACTGCTTTTGCTTTGGGCATGATGCAGTTTGGTGGCAGACAATGAAATGTGAGTGCTGGCTGTTCTTTACCCTGGATAGCCATTTTTAATGGAGCTGGTTTAGTTTGTAAGAGCAGCATCAGATTAGATGTGTTTTGCATGAAGAGAGCTATTTGCTTTGATATGAGCTTGTGTGTTTGGGGCTTCAGTTTGCTCTTAATAGTTGATGGAAGATGAGACCTTTTTTTTGCCACTACTTCCAGCTCTTCTGTTTCATCTTCTCTTGTCTGAGCCTAGAAAAATTTCTATTTTCTCCCCAAGATTTTATTTATTTTTAGCTAACACTTCTCTCGAAGTTGTATATTTTCTCCATACATAAATGTTTTGGGAGTGCCAAAAAAAGAAGTTAAGTATCACTGAGCAGTGCTGGAGATGCCAGAGCAAGTGGTGCCTCTCTGGCCTTTGTCCCCTGGCTATTGTTCCATCCTGGTGAATGAGTGAAGGTGCTGCAGAAGAGGCTCTTGCCTTGTGCAGTGCTCAGAGCATCCCTCAGGATCTGTCCTCTGCAGTGGGACAGCCACGAGTGAAGCAATGGGCCTTGTGCTTTGCCTGTTGCAATGAAGGAAGGATGGGATGGGGTTTTACAATTTAAAAGTCAGCACTAAAAAGCCAAATAAATCATTTTAGTTGTGTCCTTCTGCTATTACTGTTGTTGCTGGGGATACAAAAGGGTAGAAATTGCAGGCAAATAGCATTTTTACTTCCAAATTGCTTTCAAGTCTGTATGTAAATCGCAAACATATCCTCCTTGATGTACTCCATACATTGCTCTATTTATTGTAAATCCAAAACATCAAATCCTGTCTCTGTTTTCCACCTCCCACTCCATCTTTCCTGCCCTCACTGACTCCTCACTGCTGTGGGCAGACAGGGGACAGAAAGGGCGAGGCTGGCATCGCTCTGCTTGGCACTGTCACGTCAGTGCTCGGGGTGTGTGCTGGAGCAGGCAAGCACAGCTCTTGGGGGCTACTGCTCAGCAATCTGGGCTCTGCCTTATCCACCCTTTCCTTTGGCCAAGATCCTTGCTCAGGTCAAATTCCAGAAATGCCATCAGTTTGCCCAAACAGTAATTGCAGACATATCATGCTTGGAGTTGGTTTCCTCTCCTAATGTGAATTGTCAACTTCTCCTGTGCCTCTCCAGGGACTGATCTGCAGGTCTGTATCCCAAAGGGCTCCACGTGCTGCTCGAGGAAGATGGAGGAGAAGTACCAGGCAGCTGCCCGCCTGAACATGGAGCAGCTGCTGCAGTCTGCCAGCATGGAGCTGAAATTCCTGGTCATCCAGAACGCTGCTGTCTTCCAAGGTGAGTGCTGGGGGTGCTCCAGTCACGTGCAGGGGGAGGCAGCATTTCTGCTCCTCTTCCTCAGCACTGGGCAATTGGAAGTGCAAGTGGCTGGAAGCTTTTTGTTTGCTTGTTTTCATGTGTTTTTAGATATTACATATGCTGGTTTATGATTTGTAATATCCCTGGTTTGCTATAATGGTTGCTCTGCAGGGCTTGTCCTAAATATTCCTGCATTCCTGTAAGAATGAATAGAAATTTAAAAGCTGAACTTTTTGAGGTGCAAATTAAACAAAAAAAAAAAACCACCCCAAAATCCCACCTTTCCAAGAATTAAAATCTCTGTGCAAGTATTGTGCTGTCTGACTCTGTCAGTCCCAAAATACGAGCTGCAGTGAGGTGATCTGGTTGTCACCTCAGTGTAGTGCTTGGTGAGATCTGCCTCTCAACAACTGTGTGTGTTGCTGTTCTTATCCACTGCACAACAAAGTTGGTTATTGTGTGGGAAAGGTGGCAGAGGCTGCTGGTTCCCAAATCTGGTCCCTGGTGCCCCATGGGGTATTTGAGTGCTTGGTGATCCTGTCCTCTGCTGTCTGGGGCGCCTCACTTTCTAATGATAATATGATGGTTTTGTTTGTTTGCTTGGTTTTTTTTTTTTTTTTTTTTTTTTGCAAAATGGATCTTCAGATATTTTTTTAGTGTTGATACACACTAGTTTGTGCCGCTTAAATCTGCAATAATTTTTTTAGGGTCTTATGGTTAATGTGCAGTGAAATGATTGCTTATTTGTTGAGTGCTGTCCTATTGAGGTTCCATCATTCTGTATTAATGATGTTTTTGCCTGTATTTAAAGAAGCAGTCATGGGCAACCAAGCATTTTTTTCCTTCATGATGATATCTTTGCAGAATAATTGATTTATTTTTGTTTATGCCTCACTAATAGCAAGACCCAAGACCTGCTGAAGCCTGTGAGATCAGGGCAGAGCTCTGTTCTGGGCCACAACTGACTGATGAAGTTTAATATGTTGTTTTTCTCAATGTAAGATCAAATGAATTGCTGAGGAGTTAACAGCACATTTTTTCCCCCCAGTAATTCTTAATGCAGTTACCATTAAGATCCAATTCTAATAACCAGAATGGAGTAAAACTAATGAAAGATTGGTTTCCTGGGCATTGGAAATGTGGACCAGCTTAGGAAATGGTGAATAACCTGTGTGGAATACAAACTCTCTGCCTCCTTCCTTCCCATTTGACAGAAACTGCAACATTAGTTTTTATTGTGTGTGGGAATGAAGCCCTGTGGAACTGCAGGTTGTTGGGTGCTCTGCTTCTGAACTTTCTGCCACTTCTGGAGGGAGCTGAATCATTTGCTTTGATTTTATTATCCCCCCTTTTTTTTTTTAAACTGTTATTTCCACCCGGGCCCAGGGACCCATGCAGGAATTTTGAAGCTGAAGTTATTCTGAGAAGCTCTGGTATGTGGAATTGCCATTCTTGGTGGTGGGGAAGAAAAGCATTTAATTGAACAGTTTCTGACCACTTCTGCTTATTAAAAAAGCTCTAAAGTGACTAAAAATAATTTGCAATCCTGTTGCAGAGGAGGAATTCCTAGCTGGAACCATTGAGGAGCTCACTTTAATTATCTTGTATAAAGTGTTTTGGACTTGGAGGAACGATTCATTAGATTTTGAACACCATTTACTTTTGTTATCTTTAAAATTAGTCTGGAAGTTTGTAGAAGAACACTTTTTAAGATAGGTTACTCTTTTGATTGCTGCTTGCTTAAGAGTACTTTGATAGCTCCAATACCAGAGGCTGCTCCAGCTGTAGAAATTGTGCAGGATGCCCTGGCAGCTATTGGGGGGATGCTGGAGTGGGCAGGGAAGAGGAACCCCAGTGGCCTCTGAGCATCTCCTGCAGGTCCTGAGGAAAGACTCCCTGTGGCTTTGGGAGCTGGGAGTGCAGGGATGGGACAAGTGGAAGCAGTGCCAGCTCTGAGATGTGCTCTGGCAGGGAAGAGAGCCCCCAATGTGTTTTGCTTTGGGTCAGACCCCCAGTCTGGGGACCCAGTGCAGAGGATGGATAATTGCATCTCTCTCCAGAGAGGGGAAATGTGTTGGTATGGAAACACGGCTCAACCACTCATATTAAAAACACAAATGTGAAATCCTTCAGAGTTAATTTTAATATTTTTACCCTGACATCTAAAGGGACTGTTAGTCTGACAAGCAAAATCTCACCCAGATGTTATTATTTTGCACCAAATTTAATTTCTTTCTGCTGAAGCTAGAGCAGCATCTCTGCTGATAAAGATCAAGGGAAATTATCTGGCATTTACAGGAAATCTCATCCAGGCCTATCTGTTACAATGTTCACTTAGCAAAGTTTATTAGATTATTAGTTTTAGACCCTTGGGCTTTTTCTTTATTGCAGTTAAGAAGGAAAAATCCCAACCAAAAAAATCCTCCCTTCACTAAATTTAAATGGTACAATTAGCTCCTGGTCTTATCTCGCAGGCATTTTTTAAAATTATGAAGATGATTTAAGTAGTGATTTAATCTTTTGGAAACTTGCTGTGTTTGACAGTATTAAAATGGATTGTGGCTGCCTTGACTGCAGTTAAATCTTCCCCCAGGATTTTTTTTTGTGGTCAGTTTTTCCACTTCCCCTTGGTGTATCCATGCTGGTACTTCCTGGTTGGAGTTCTCAGCTCTGAAGCTGGGATGAACCCCATCACCTCAAAACTGCTCATGTGTCTTTTGTTATGTGACATTTAGTATTGCTAAATGTTCTCATCCAGACTAACCAGTAGATTGTGCAACTCAGCTGCCGGAGAGAACGGTGAGAACCTTGCCTTTGGTTTGCTTTCTCCCCTCTTTTTCTTCTGATATTAGAGCTTTGCTTTTTTCAGTGTGGGAATTTCTGGCCCTGCCGCCATCTTGTCTTTTCCTACTGAAATAATGATAACAAAAAATCCCTCAATGAATTCTGCCAATTCCTTAAATATTAAATCTAAGTAGCTCAACTTTGTGCAAGGTAAACTTGAGCAGGAAAATACCAGTGTAGCTCTTCATCTCCCTTTCCCTTCACTAAAGAACTCTGTTCCATGGAGTTTGCTTGTGTGCATGTTTATCAGCCTGATTCCTCCTGCTTCCCAAGCTTGGGAATTTTTGAATGGTCACTTAATTTCTCGCCCTGCATATTGGCCACATTGCTCTGTGGCTAACAGAAAATTAAAGCTTTAGCGACTACTCACTTGCAGCTTTTGTGGTGAGATCTTATGAGTTCTCTGTTCAAGGGAAAAAGTTACTTGAAAAAGTGGAAAGATGGTGACACAAGTAAGCACAGAAGGACCTCTGGGAGAAGGGCAGCATCTGCAGCCATTCTTTGTGTCAGATTTCCTGGTAATATCCCCTTCCATCAAGTGAGAAGCGCAGGGACAGGAGAGCTGGCTGTGAGGAGCTGCTCCTGCACAGTGAGCTCCTGGGGAGAGCTGCTTTCAGTATTTTAAGTGATTGCTCAAATAAGTGAACAGCAGGATCTTGTGCTGCCTCTCTGCAGCCCCTTCTGCTGGTGCCAGCCCCATCCTGGAGGGACTTTGATGTGCTGCAGACGTGGAGCTGTTGGAATGTGTTGGTGGCTCCGCTCTGCGGTCCCTGGCAGTGCCGTAAATCGTGAGATACAAAATGTGGCTGTTCCTGACCCTGAGTTGAGCTGCCCCAGTGCTTGTGTGGGTGCAGAATTTGCTTCCATCCACTTCCCAAATAGCTCCAGTGGGGCTGCACTGCTGCTGGAGCTTTGGGAATGTCGTGGGTGGTGGGAAGGTTAGGAGTGCAGTAAACCAAACTGAAAAATTGCCTGGGATGCTGCAGTTGAGGCTCCCTTGGTGAAGGCCTGGAGGGGTGAATGAAGACCTGGTCTGTTCCCTCAAAGGCAATGGCATCTTCCCTTCTGTAGATGGCAGCTGGAAAATAACAAATATTGTGGGAAATTTGCAGGGGCTACTGAGATTTGAGGGGCTTTTGGGATGTGTGTTTCACAGTGGTTTCTAGGAAGACCTTAATAAATCAACACCAACAAACCTGTCTGTACATGTTTATTTTCTTATTAATGAGAGAATCCTGTTCCTTTTTTCCTCTGGATAGGGCCCTTGGTGGTTCTGGCAGAGCAGGTGCTGTGGGGAGGATGTCAATTCATCTCTCCTTGTGTGCTGTGGTAGGATAAAGGCAGAGTTGTAACTCTTAGTCCTACCAGGCAGCTCTGAAGGCTGTAAATCTTCCATTAGGCATAAATGCAGCCATTTTGGTTATTTATAGTTATTTACACTATCCATTCATATCTGTCAGGAATGAAGGCAGTTCTGACATTGCAAGCTTCTATCAGGTTATCTTTAATCAGTTTAGAGGCACCTAAGCCACAAATATATCAAATAGCCAATCCTAATGTTGGAGTCCTCTAAAGTATGACTGAATTATTTATTTTGTTATGATGAAAATGTCTGGGCTTTATTGGGTTTTCTTTGAAGAACTTGATTCTGCTGGAAGTCTGGAAGATAAAAGATTAGAGATTGTCTCTCCAAGTTTCTTATTCCAAATCCTTCAAGGCTTTTCATTTTTCACGAGCCTCTGTTACTATGTTAGAGTCAAGGTGAGGGAACTGAGTTTTCTTTTTATTCTATTAAAGAGGTTTAAACTATATAAAGTATTTTATCTTTACTAATTATGCCTTGCACAGGTAAATCCAAGATACACGTAGCAATTAGGTGAGAAGGGATTAGGCTGTGTGGTGGAAGCTTTTGCATGTTAAGCACCAAGATGGGTCCATGATAGCAGCACTGATTGTCTCTTATCATCTGGATAGTTTAACACTCCAGGGTTTTTCAGCCAATTAAGTTTTGATAATTCAGGAAGGTCTTTCAGGTGTTGCAGTAGGAAGAGCCTTGGGTGGACTTTAGCACTGCGTTGTTGCCCTTGGTGTGTTGGGGAGGGAGGAGGTGATGGGGGGCAAGTGGGAGAAGTCTC